CGCACGGCCACCCCTGCCCCGGGCTCCCGGGATGTGGGGGGCCGCTGCCCTCCCGCGTCGGATACACTCCTCGGTGTCGCCGCTCGAGTCCTGTTTGGTGCCTGGCAAAGTGTTTTCTTTTTTCCAGTGGGCTCCCTGCTGGCCTCCTACGGCTGGTACATCGTGCTCAGCTGCGTCCTGTTGTTCGTGGTCTTTCAGAAGCTTTCCACCCGCCTGCGGGCCGCGAGGCAGAGGCAGCTGGACGGCGCCGCAGCTGCCGCGGGTTAGTAGCCGGGGCGGATCCAGGCTGCTGCGGGTTAGTAGCCGGGGCGGATCCAGGCTGCTGCGGGTTAGTAGCCGGGGCGGATCCAGGCTGCTGCGGGTTAGTAGCCGGGGCGGATCCAGGCTGCTGCGGGTTAGTAGCCGGGGCGGATCCAGGCTGCTGCGGGTTAGTAGCCGGGGCGGATCCAGGCTGCTGCGGGTTAGTAGCCGGGGCGGATCCAGGCTGCTGCGGGTTAGTAGCCGGGGCGGATCCAGGCTGCTGCGGGTTAGTAGCCGGGGCGGATCCAGGCTGCTGCGGGTTAGTAGCCGGGGCGGATCCAGGCTGCTGCGGGTTAGTAGCCGGGGCGGATCCAGGCTGCTGCGGGTTAGTAGCCGGGGCGGATCCAGGCTGCTGCGGGTTAGTAGCCGGGGCGGATCCAGGCTGCTGCGGGTTAGTAGCCGGGGCGGATCCAGGCTGCTGCGGGTTAGTAGCCGGGGCGGATCCAGGCTGCTGCGGGTTAGTAGCCGGGGGCGGATCCAGGCTGCTGTTGAGCAAGAGGCGCGGGATTGTGATCAGTATGGAAGGGAAACCGTTTTCTGCTTCTTAGGATGATTGTGGTGAATGCAATAGATTTATTTCAGAGGTTTTTCAGAGGTGTTTAATTGTCCTGTATTTTTTTTTTTTTTTAATATCTTTATTATTCCAAGAGATAGAGAAAAACGTCAGTGATGAGAGAGTCATTGCTGGGCTGCCTCCTGTGGCCCGGGCTGGGGATTGGGCCTACCCTGTATTCTCAAAGCCCCTAATGTTTCTTTGGATATGTCCTCAGGAACTGTAGCTTCTAAGTAGTGAAAGGGCCGCCATTTCAGAGGGACTGATTTGTAAAACCCCCAAGTGGAGTTTGCAGTTAGGCCTGATGAGTAAATTGTGATCTCATACACCTGGGAGAGAACTCAGGGTCAACAGGCAGACCAGTGAAAAGTTTTCACTTTAATCCGTTTTATGGATGATTTTCCAGCCCCAGGAGTCACCATTTACTGAGGTTGGGGAGGAAAGCAGTTGTCGCAATGCAAAACCTCAAGCATTCCTCTCCTCTCCCGGGAAGCCCTCAGTCTCTCGGATTCTTGGCTCTAGGGCAACAGCAGACTGTGAAGTACAGTTGTAAGTCTTGCCTGTAGATTGCAGGGTTTCCCGAAGCAGATGACAGTGGTGTCTGGGGACAGCGTCAGTCACCTGCTACAGCCACCTGCACGAGTGAAGTGCTGGCGGCGAGGATGAGCAGTCACATCCCACGTGATGCTTTAGGAAGCACCATGGAAAGTACCTGCAGCGAGAGGCGGTGTTTTGTGCTATTCAGTTTTGTGTGGAAAAGTAGGTTGAAAAACTACGCTTAGATTGATTGTATTCTAAGAATGACTCGACAGAAATGTTCCTGGAATTCACACTTGTAGAGAAAGTGGAAGTATATTTTTGTTTCTGTTTCAAAGCTTCACTCATCTCTACCAACCCCACCCACACACACGTGTACTATTTGATCATGAGATTTGGCTCCCATCGTCTGTGGATTTACTTCAGTGGCCTTGTTCCCCTACTATCTGTAGGTAGTGATGATCGCCTATACTTTGAGTGGTACAGGTGTGAGTATAGAAATTCTAACCTTCCCTTTAAAAACTAGTTGCCTGGCCCGGTGGGGCATGGCTCAGCGGTTGAGCATGGACCTGGGATCCAGGAGATCGGGGTTTGATTCCCCGTCAGGGGCGTGTAGGGGGCAGCTGATCAGTGACTCTCATCATTGAAGTTTCTCTTTCTCCCTTTCCCTGGAAGCAATAAAGATATTTTTTTAAAAAGCAAAAGAAAACCCTAGTTGCCCCTCAGTGGTCCTTAGCATGGTGGTTGGTCTGAAGAGATGAGCAGGTAGAGTTCGCCATGGTGTATTGCTATAACTGTGCTCTAGGCCAGAGAAAAGCAGAGGTCAAGCTGGGGTGCTGGTTTCTATTAATGCGAGCAGGAGGGATTTTTCTCTGTTCTGTAGAAACAAGGATAAATACCTAAGGGCCTTTAGCTTTTTCTGTATAGGCCTGGGCTAATCAAGTGATGCCTAATACGGGAGATTTCTGGCTGGATGTTGGGAGGTGTCCAGGTCATGGAACAAAATCTCTATGTGTTTGTGCCAGGCTTTCTGAACTGGAATTGCTGAGGGAGGCCAGAACTCATCATTTCTAACAGGTTTTTGGTGCTGTAGATATTTCACTAGGGCTCAGAACGATGGCTGTGGGACAGTCTCCTACCCCCAAAAGCAGCCACATGTAGAGGGGTAAACTTATTTGTGTAGAAATATATTTTTACATTGTCTTTTATGTACTCTCAAGAGTACATTTTCTATGAGGGTGTTTTACCTTAATTTTTTTTTTTCATTGTAGAACCTGATGATGTTGTAAAACGACAAGAGGCTTTGGCAGCGGCCCGCTTGAGAATGCAAGAAGAATTAAATGCACAAGTTGAGAGGCATAAGGAAAAACTAAGACAGGTAGGATTCCTTTGTATACATGGCGCTAAGAAATTAGGGTTTGAGGCTGAGGTCAGAAGTGGTCAGTGCTTTCCTTGTGCAATTTCTTCCTACCAGGCACATGTGACAACCCACCAGATCTGACCCAATCTGAGACAGAAGTGTAGATTCTGCTTTTAGTCTTTTTTTTTTT